GGGGAGAGAGAGAGGTAGGAATAGAGTAGAAGGGGGCTTTAGGGATAGGTAGAGATAGAGAGTAGATTACTACCTATTTTAGAAGGTAGGTAGGTAGGTATCTAGGTAGGTACTTAGGAAGAGAGGGATAGAGACGGGGGTATGTTATAGGCTAATAGGAGGAAGTATAGGGGGGTATTAGATAGATGTATAGATATGTAAGACGTAAAGTAGGTATTACTAGACTGAGAATTTAGATATATATGTATATAATTAATACCTTTAGGGGATAAGCTAGGAACTTACTCGTATAACAGGGCAGGACTAGGGTAAAGAACACCTACCCCCTGAGCCATGGTTCAGCATTTGAAATCCCATTCTATTCTAAGACCTCCCTATGGAATATTCTATTCCAAATAGTATAATTATTAGAATATTCCATTCTAAACGGTAGAATATTTAGAATTCCACTTAGAATTCCCACGTAACCTGTAAAATAGTAGTTCCGGTCCGAGCGACTAATAGAAAGTCCGAGTTTAGCCTTAGTATTACTATATGTCACGTAGCCACGGTAGCGTAGCCAGGTTAAACAATATACAGAGTAAGTACAGTACGACTAAGATATACTCAAAGCACATGCTTATACTAAGAGTAAATACTAATTAATTGTAACACTATTAATAATATCGCCACGATATATTATATTGGAGGAGATTTAGGGTTTAATGCAGGAGACGACATAATCACAGTTTCAGTCCTTACTTTATAACAAATAGAGCTCTCTTATTAGTTGAATAGTAATATATAAATATATGCTTTAGAATTCCAAATTCCAAAGCCTTATCCTTTAGAACATTCCAATCCAAATTAAAGTGCCTTTGGAATATCCACCTTGGAATGGAATCTTGGAATCCTTGGAATCGTATTCCAAATGCCGAACCTTGCCCTGAACTGAAAAACTTCTGTAGATGGATGTAATTATTCTTATATTTTCTGTTGGATGGTAGCGAGCGTATCCATGCATCAGCATGTTTACTATCGGATAATAGGCGTCCGAATCCGGTATAATAACCGCGAGAGACATTACTCTTTTCGAACAACCACCCTTCTCACATAACCACACTTCCACAAAAAAAACCACCCACCCTAACCCAAAAATCTCAACCTCAACCCCTAGAAAAATGCGTTTCACAACCACCAGCATCCTCACCCTGACCCTCAGCACAGGCACCCTAGCAAAATGGTACGGCTACTGCCTCGACAAGAACAACAACGGCGCCCTGACCATCTTCAATGACGCAGCGGGCAAGGAAGCGTGCGAAATGCACGTGAATACGGGATTCGGGCCTAAGGTCTGTACGGATTGCGTGTGGAGGCCCCGGGATGGCGATGGACAGTGTCATAGTAAGGATGGCCTCATTGAGAGTAGCGCTTTTGATATGTTTTGTAGGACTGCTGGTGCTGCTGGTTCTATGACGTCTGACTGAGGATGTTGGACGGGCTGGTGGGTGTTGTTGGGATATTAGGGGTGGCTTGTAGAGGGCGAGGGGGTTTTTACCTTAGGATGAATGAATGAATGGGTGGGCTTTTTGGGAGGGCTTTTGGTGTAAGCGAGATATTGTCGGATAGTATAATAGGCAGGTTTTATGCCTCTTTTAGTGGCACTCGTACCCGTACTACTTACTATACTAGGATAGGTAAGGTAGGGAACGACCTTTTTCTTTCTCGATCCAAGCCTTAATTTAGTAATTTATAAAACATCAGATGAAAAAATTTAAACTTTCCAAGCCACCCTCCCTCCCCTTCCTATTTTAGTAATAAACAAACCCGACGTTTTCGATCCGAACTCCTAACTACACGTTTTAGTCTATTCATGGCATAGGGGTTCTCATATACTTGATAAGGTTACGCTTGTGCTTTGTCCCAAACGAAAGTAGGTACGAGGTACGACATCAATATAGGGTTTTTCTAAGGTGGCGAAGGGGGAGGAACAAGGTAAGCCCCCCTTGAAAACCCCATCCAGTTATTTCGCTTCGCTTCAGACAAAGGACGCGAGAATGTTTTTATATTGGGGGTAGCGAGGGGATCCATGTTTGGGATCGGATGATGGCGTGGATAGGTGTTGGTACGACCTGGTGGTCGTGACGACGGCGAATACGGGATTCTGATCACCCTCTGCTGGGGCAACTAAATCGGTGTATTCATTTGTTCGCGAAGAGTAAAGGTAGAGAGAGGTGGTACTCTACGAGCTTAAGTATGTGAGTGGCAAGCCACTCACATGACACCAAGCATGTAGAACCACCAGGCTCTCGTACGAGGTGCTAATCACTATAATTATATACCGACAATAGGTTTATGGAGGATTTCTTATATTAAGCAGCTAGGTAACCAGTGAAACACATCTCTTTTTTTGGACAAGTCAGTTCGTTCTTACATACCACTCACTCACTCTTTTCCACATCCACATCCACAAAATCAAACCTCACAACTTACCACCACCACAACAACCCCCTCAAAAACAACCAACCATGCGTCTCACCCACCTCACCACCGGCGCCCTGGGGAAAAGATATTTCGGCTACTGCCTCGACAACAACAGCGACGGCTCCGAGACCTTCAACGACGACAAGGGCGAGAAAGCATGCATCGCGCACCAAGACAACGGCCCTATCGGCAACGATGGTGCAGGCCCGAAGTGTCACGATTTCACGTGGAGACAGGTCATAGGAGGCGAGCAGTGCTATAGCAAGGAAGGGCTGATTGATGATGGCACGTTCGATTTTCTGTGCAAGTGGTTCGGTGCTGACAAGATATTGACGTCGTAGTTGGATGGGAGGAGATTGGTGGACGGTGGGTGGGGAGATGTCGGGGGGATGGTCGGTTTTTGGGGGGAGGGGAGGGGTTTGTTGTATTGTTTTCGTGTTTTTTTTGGACATTATTACATGCAGTGAAATGAAACAAGTTATGATGAATCCAGTTTTTCGAAGCANTTTTTGGGGGGAGGGGAGGGGTTTGTTGTATTGTTTTCGTGTTTTTTTTGGACATTATTACATGCAGTGAAATGAAACAAGTTATGATGAATCCAGTTTTTCGAAGCAAGCGTACACACCATGTTACAGCACGAGACTTCTGCACTCCTGTCTCTGCTGCCTGAACCCCCTATCTCGATTACCAAGGTCATAGTACTCTAGAGGCTGCGCTTCCACTCGATCAGGGTCTACTTGCTCATTAGCTAGCTTCCCTCCTGATTCGCTTATTCTATCCTTGTATTGTGCCCGGCCTCGTATTTTAACATATATGGTCAAACTGTGAAATATGTAGAAGGGATATAGTATCCTGAATTTATAATTAATCCAAAACTAAATCGTATAAGTTAAAAGTTACTTTATATACAGTAGTAGGAAGAACTAGATAATAAAGTCGGGTTAGTCTAAATGATTTCGCATCGTAGAATTATGTTGTTAGGTTTATACTAACAAGTGTTTCTACCATATACACCAAGGTAGAACATGTCTTATTTAGGTTTCAGTCACTCGTACAGCCTTCAAAGAAGACACTATTATATATATAGTTCTCGTTCGCTCTCTTGCTTTTTAGCTCCTTAGTTCATTCAATACAATTCTTATTCTATTACTCTGGATACCCTGGGATTCCACATATCCTGCTCAGCAAACTATAAGATCTCTTAGCTATAACGCTCTCTTTATACTCCCTTATTCCCCTCGCCCTTCTCCCTCTCCCTTTCCCTTCCCTAAAAAGTAAATACCCCCTATTCCTTCTCGCTTACCCCCTTCTTACTATACCCCTTCTCACTATCACCACTATAAATAAAAAGCAAAAGCAAAAGCAAAAAGTAAAAATCAAAACAAGTAAATCCTAAACAATTACCACCTAGTATAACACCTACTTCCCTACTTCCCTCCCAATAACCTTTTTGGAAAGATACCTAGTACTAGGTATATTACTATCTAAGAATAAATAACAAGTAATATATATAACTAAAATACTTTCCTTATATCTCTCTTTACCCCCCCCC